TATCCAATAGACAGCGCCCTCTTTTTTAACTAAAACGGATGATTGGTTAGCACATAACGGTTAGCACTAGTTTGACAGTTGTTCGATTGCTGGGAATAGCTTGTGAAATCAAAGATTGATAAACTAATCTATGACTATAGACATATGTAGTTTTTTCAATAATTTTCTGAGAGTAAATTAGCGAGGAGTAATCAATTGGATCGCATTTTATTTCACCTGTTTGATTTATTTCTACTGTTTTTTTCACTTAGATTTACGTGGATCAAACTGATCTGTATCTGTCATCAGCATAACTTTGTTTTCTGATGGGCGAATACTCTGGAAAGCGCTGTTTCTTCAAAAATCAGGTTCCTGAAGTAAGAGGGTTCCGATAATTTGAGAAATTGTCTCAGTGCAATTGATGTGATGATATTTAGATTGACTGTGATCACATATACATTAATTTACGAAATTTGTTCGAAACGACTCATGGAAGTCATCTTGATTGTGGTTCTCAATTGGAATATGTTTTGTTACGTGCGGGATTCTTTGATTTATCACCGATAAATCTATTCGAATACTTCATTTGCTCAAATCATCACCAAGAATTGACGACAATAAAAAGACGAAATATATGCAACATCTGTAAACTTGTCTTTGATAAAGACAAGAAATCATCTACAAGTGGTCTTCGTGGTGTTTTGAAAACTGTTGCTGTGGGTCTTTGGTTAGATCATGAAATATCCACATACGACAAAACGATTTGTACTACATGTCGTTTGAAGTTAGAGAGGCGGTACAATAGACAAGAATGTTTAGACAAATCTGAAAATATTTTGAAATGGTTGTATAATCCAATGATTTTGTTTACACCTGAAAAATCCGAAAGCACACTTGACGATAGTTATCGTTTAAGTAGTGGAAGTTCTGATAGGACAGAAAGCTTTACAGATTGGCTAAGAAATCATGGTTTCAGTGGAAGAACCGAAAAAACTTTATCTTATGACGCTCTGACACATCATAGCAAGAAGAAGTTTGTTTTATTCATGGAAAATATTCCACAACATTAATTGTTTGTTTTTTATTTAGTTTCCTCAACCAAATGAAGAAAATTCTTTTTCTTGTTTTCCAACTGTATGCACCTCATGACACAGATTATGTATGGAATGAGTTTATTGACAATGAATACGAACAAAGACATAAAAGTCGTGACCCTAATTGTACTTTGATTATGGAAGCGATCGCTAATGCTTATGCAAATGCTGAACATTGGTCAACCAAGCGGCAGCTTCTTTCGATAATCGCTGGGGATTTACCATTTAACGCCATTAAAGAGTATGTGCCAAATTTAACAATCGGAAGATATTACGATGCCCGACGTCAGTCAAAAGGAAATGGTGAGCTTAAAATCGCTTTGAAAATTACATCAACTAACAAATTTTCATATCACAAGTAGGACGTGGAGCATCTGTCAAAAGCGAACGATCTCCAACGATTAGGTACTCGAATATTCAAGTTGATCACTTTATAGAGTATATCCTTTCACCTCATATAACAACGGATCTACCTTTTGGTGAAAAATCGATGACAATGAGCAATGGAGCCATTATTAGTATACCAAACCATATTCGAAACTTGATTCCATCTCGTATTGTACAGCAGTATTATCAGTTCTGTTCTGAAACTGGTTCAAGTAATTTCAAACCACTATCTGAAACTGTCTTGTATCAAATTTTGAATGGTTGCTCCGCATCAACAAGAAAAAGCCTACAAGGTCTCGATTACTTTTCGGCTGATGGATCGACAGCATTTGATAATCTAGTTAAGATTGCAGATGAAATGGTGACAATAGGTAAAGCAACATTGTTCTAAGAAATAGTTGTGAAAGGATTGGACTTTTTAAGGTGTATCGGATAACATAATTCGGAAACTGAAAATGGATTTACAATCATCTCGAAACTATCTAAAGCGAGATTACAAGTTGCATATTGATGGTGATTCGACTATTCCCGATCATTGTCCTATATACTCACTCAGCGACACAACGTGTAAAGAATGGCAACAAACATGCAATCACCAACATGATGATCGATGCGAATATTGTTCTCTGCTTGATGTCACATTGGATACATTGACTTCATTAGCAAGGAATTGTCCCAAAAGCTATTCGTCTGATAAACAAACGAGATTATTGCATCGGATTGAGCATAATATTGAACTAATTCACGAATGGAAAGCACATCTTCTACGAACTGTTCACCAAGATGAAGCGCGTTGTGATGTATTGAATAATTTGGATGCCAAGAGTGTTATGTTGCAGATTGATTGGGCAATGAAATTTCTTGCGAAAGAATATCGAGAATCGCAACGTCAATGGTTTGGTTCGTATTATTGGTGTCCTTCTTTATCTAGACCTTTCTTCACTTTTTGTATCATAGCTAAGCGTGGACTGTCTTGGCACATATGCTATGCAATAAAACTTCAATCAGCATCTTCATCAACAACGTCTGATAGAACATTTGAACATAAAACATACGCTCATATCTTTGACCAGTGTGTCCAAAATGGACAAACGGTAACTAGCATCATGAGAGATATATTATTACGGATCAAATCGGCAAATCCTGAAATTCAATTTGCATACATACGTGGTAATGCGAATTTTGTTATTCTATTTGCGATATCGTGAATGTTTACAACACAATTTAGCTGATAATGCCGGCTGTTTTCATGGATGCGATTTTTTGTTGTCGATAAGAAAACTGTATGAAGAAACTGGAATATTTATCAAGCGAGGTATTGTATATAGACGGAATCGAACTAAAGCTTACGTATTTTTCTATATTAAGTTGACTTTTCTGATCCTCAATCAGGAAAAAGTAGTTGTGATCGAATGGCAGCTGTCATCAAATGCAACGTTCGTCGTTATATTGATGAAAAACATAATGTTACGAACAGTAAAGAATTTGTCGCAGCTGCGCGAAGTACAAAATATTTGTCAATCTATGCAAGTAAACTCATCTATGAACAGGAAAAGAACACGAAGAAAAAGAAGATTGAATGGTACGGGATCAAATCTTTCAATAATATCGAATATAGCATTACTGATTTATCTTCACTAACAAATGATCATTATTCAAATGAAAAGCTATTGGAACATATGAGTGTTAAATGTTGGCGTGCCTGGAACATTGGAATTGGAAAGAGATTTATGTGGAATAACCTTCAGGAAATTTTTACTATTCCTCGATTGGAAGTAATCGATGATTCCTTGATTATTACGGACCAATGGCAATTAGAATCTAAAGAAAACGGTAAACACACAACTCACGTGATCCTAATTTTCGATTATTTACGAAATGATATTTAGAATTTGTTCAGCACGAAGATGTCTGTAAAACATCTGAAGGAGATGAAATAGATGAAAATTCTCAAGTAGCAAGTAATTCAAAATCACAAATGTTTGACTGTCCTGAGGTTGGATGTATGAAACAGTTTCTTACGCATGGACATCTGTTAAATCATTTGTCTACTGGTAAACATGTTTTCCATGAAGAGAAAATGGGCTTGTTGGATACAGCAAAGACCCTATACAAACAAAAATTGGAGCAAGTCCCTGTTAGACAATATCCATCATTGAAAGGTTTTGTTGTGATTCGACCGGTGAGGTATATGTTCTATTGTCTATTAGAGTTATGTTTGTTTTATTTCGAAGGCAAATACTGCAACAAAAACTACCCTACATTCCGGCTGGGCACTGCTAAAACAAAAAACGAGTCGACGTCTGACGGAACAGCAAAAGAAATTCCTTGAAGCAAAATATGAGCAAGGTGAAGAAAACAACATGAAGTTTACTTCTGATGATGTTGCATACGAAATGGAAATTCTTATGATCGGCAACGAATATGCTTTTGAACCACATGAGTGGCTCAAAGCATCCCAAATTCAAAGTTACTGGTCCCGATTAACCAAAAAACGGCGCCAGTCAAATCAAAACAAAAAGGTAACTACGGGTGTCGAAACGAACAATGACGACAACAACGATGATGAAGAGATGCGGGATAATGATATTTTTGAAAGAATGCAACACGAAGTTAAACAGAAGATATTGAAAAATGTTATACAAGATTTACAAGCAGATGCAGAAAATATTCCAGCAGCTGATGGAGTTACAACACCAACTATGAAGACCAAACAAGCTCAAAGATCTATGGATAATATTGCGGATCATCAACGGAAGAAAAAGTCATTAATAAATAACTAATCATCTCTTTTGGACTAAATCATATGTGGAGCTCTCATATTGCGATACTTCATTTTTTGGTGGGCAAAACATTATCATGAAAAGTCATTTTCTTCCCTTAACAGCACGAATTGTACTTCTGGATTACTTATAGTCAACATTTCATTTACTATTATGCAAAAAAGAGCAATTCTACTCCTGCACAAGTAGAGGCTAAATTGAATTTTTCGCGCTTTCTGCTTATCCGTATGTACTGGATCTTTTGTCTGCGAATGAATTAAACAGTCAACTGTTTCGCTCAATCACGCTGAAAAATGATTGATTTTCAGAAAATTATCTATTATTCACTCTTGTAAGTACACATCATGTGAGAGACACTAATGAAAATCAACTCTTCGACTGGTGTACCTGCACCTGAAACAACATCTGATTATTGATAGTATTTTGATCCGCACTACTCTGTGGAAATGCTATCCTAGAGTGATTCTTACGTGGACTTTGATCATCAAATTAAGATAATCAAAGGTAGCTAAACGAGATTATAGCATTTTGAAAGTTGATTCTAATTTAGAAG